ATTATGCCTACCTCATTGGCAATTTGTTCAAAATATATTTTGCATAGAACTTCATCTTGTCTCTTTGAAAAACAAAGTGCTACTGGAATTCCGCTTCCAAATTCATCTACTACAAGTAAAGTATGTAGCAGATAGCCATAACCATTGGTACCATGAGTAGCATCTATGCAAACTCTATCGCTACCGAAGTCCTTTAACATTCTAGACTGCATTTTAGTCATTATTACTAAAATGTAATCTTCATCTCAAAGTCCATAACTAGCTGTGCCTGGTCCAACTTCTTTATGAAATATAATCTTGAATCTATTATCTGTTCTCATTTCCTCCAACCACATTTTGACACTTACTTTATCATCTTTACATTTTGGCGTATATGAGGGTAAAACCTTTTTCTTCAAATTCCACAAATCTTTCTTCGATATTGAAGAAGCTCTCTGTGGTAATATTTTATGATAGGAGGCTTCATGTATTGAGGTGATAATCACGTCATCGTTAACTCCAGCTATAATTTTTTCTGCAAATATTATATTAGTTTGAGATATTGATTTTATAAATACGTCAAATTCATTACTATTTTATTATATGATCAATAAATATACCTTTGATGTCCTTTAGCAAATCTTTGTCTATTGGAATAAATTTAGCCAGGTTTTCATGGCCCACGTGAGTCTTCCAATAATCAATAACCACGCGACCATCATTACATATTGTGGATATCATCCGGGAAGGGCATGCTACTCCAATCTTTCTACTATGTTTGAAAAACCAGCCTGTGTATTCTCGAGAGGCGTATGACCTATTGCAATTATAATAATTAATTTTACTTCCGTCTTTTATCTCGCGTCCTGAGCTGTTTTTTACATAGTGAGATAAATCCTGCTGCTCTATTTTGCTTTTTCATGTATAAAAATCTACAAAAAAGTATGAAAATAATATATAAAATTATACAGAATTGCTTTGATAATATCAGCAATTAAAAATTTACAAACCTTTTAGTGAAGAAGAAAATTGAGTTCTTCATATTTTATTTCAATCCCGTGGTCGAACTCCATGTGATCGCGCAATGTATTATATCTTGTGAATCTTTTTTTGCACACTGGGCATATTAACCTTTGGCAAAAACTACATTCAAATGTAGTTTTATATTGAATGCTTTGTTCGCCATGAACCTCGCGAACATGGCGATATAAGGAGCTACTACAGTTAAATTGCTTAAAGCAACGTGAACAGATGGTTTTGCTACTCATATTGAAAACTTAAAAATTACCTATCCCTATAAGTATAAACAATATAAAAACTACCTATCCCTATAACTATATATGCAAAAAAGATAAACAATATAAGGTAAACGTACCATATTACGGGATGTTAAGGAACATTTGACTTTAAAGACGAATTTTAGAGAAAATAGGAAAGTGGACAAACTAAATCTGTTATATTTTATTAATTAGACCTTTAAGATTATTATAAAACAAGATTTTTTGTCGTAGAACGTCATTTATAGAAATAATCGGCATTTTGGTGAACTACGCGTTTGTCTCTAATTCCGTGATAAAATTCGGTTCGTGAATATAATGCCGGGAGTCGCTGTACACTATTCCGTGATAGCGCTCGAAGCATACATTTTTGATCGTATTGCCTTGATAAATATAGTTGAATAGGTTATAAAAAGTACGGTAAATTATAAAATAATACTTTGATATCATTTTAAACATCTATTTAGTAGTATAAAAATAAAAGAATAAATAAAAATATAAGAAGTTGAAAAACTTCTAAAATAAAAATAAAATAAAAGCTGGTATTATTATAGTAATAGCAGTAAAATAATCATTATCAATACTGTTTCGGTAAATCAAATAAATGAAACAATAAAGGAATAATTTTTAACGGCAATTAAACAAAAATATAAACTTAAAATAAATATAAAATTTAAACTCAAAATAAAAAAATTAAACTTGAAATAAAAGTTGCAATTCTACCAACAAACGTAAATCTTTAAAGACTTTAAAATAATCTTTAAAGTCTTTAAAGTTAACAATAACTACTAGCTTAAATCAAGTTCGATTGGGAATTTTGTATGTTTTAGAAGTTTTAGAATATAAGTATATTCCAAAAGCTTAATCGGATCAAAACTATCGTATTTACAGGAATGTCCCTAGATCTCTGCATACATACATACATACCAGGGCCCTAGTGAATCCGCGCCCTATAAGTACCGTGCGCTATACGGGGTATACCTGTATTTTTATTCAATTTATATATTAGAAATAATTGATCATAGATGAAACGGTAGAAATAAATGATTCTCTCATTACTACAATATTCTAGGTATATTGGAACAATGCAAATAAGTGAAAAAAATCGTATACTTTCTTACTAAAGAGTAGTCATTTCAAACTCAGTTATTAGGGTTAGAAATTTAAAAAAACATATACCGTAATTACGTCACAGTATTCTGTAGTCATTAGCAAACTTATTAACACCAGAAACACCGCCGAATTTAAGCACAGTTGAAAATAAAAGATAAAACTATTTCAAGTCTACTTCTCGTAATTGCGGGATTCTCACGGAATTACGTTCATTGGTTCAGTTGTGTGAACCTAATTGCGGGAGTCATGAAATTGACAATTTCTTGACAAATATATGCTCGATTTAACTATAAAACTAATATCTTATTATTACTGATAAAAAATTTCACATATTTGAATCGATTAAGCTTATCGGAATCGAAAGAAAACCTTAAGCAATGGCACCGTCACATAACCTAACTCGCTAACAAGCTAGTACGAAATGGCGATCGTGTTACGACCGATGCTGTCAAAAGCTTTTTACGGCTTTAAAAACTAATATTTAAATTCGAAAATCGTACTATTTTATTAGGATTCAAATTATAATTGATGTGCTATTGAATAACATTATTATTTATTGACCGTTTTCTTATTTTGAGATCAAAATGAAAAACTCCCGTAATAATGTACTATCCCGGAATAGTGTACGTTTACCTTAATTGATAAACATCACTCACCGAAAAATATAATAAAACTGGCCTAACCTCTAACTATCACACTACTCACGGAAAAAATAAAATTCGTACCGATCGAGAAGGCGTAAGCTTAACAATGATTACAATATGACAAGTCTGATATTCCCATGCGCATGGTCGACAGACTTGAATATTTACACACCCGGCTTCATGGTGTTTGTACACACCAATGCATGCACAACCGTACAATGAGCTTCTGTCAAAAAGACTTCCACTTGATACTCTTATGGTTTCTGACTTAGGGTTTAAATTTACAGACGAGAATTTTAAGGGTAATGTGGTATTGTTACAAAAATTTAATTTAGAATCTACTATGTTGATTGAACCACCAAAAGTTTTTAAAAAATCCATACCTAAAATTCCTTCGCTCTTAATAGGAAGATCGTCTTTAACTATATGAAAAACATGTTTAACTATTTTATTTCCTAATCTAATCCTAAATATTGCCTTACCTAAAGTCTGAACATTTATCCCTGATACTCCTGTCAAATTCAATTTATCCTCTAATTTATGACTTATCTCTAATTCACACCTATTAACGAAATCTCGACTAAACTAACTTCTGCTCCAGTATCAACGAGTCTCTAACTGTGTCTAACGATTCTAAATTTACAAAGGCTAAGTTATTTGAAGTTTGTTCTATACAAGAAAGATGGCTCGCTTTAATTCGCTACCCTTACTAGTTCCAGGTTCTGGAGCTCTATCTGAACTATCTTTTATATTTTCGTTGTTCTTTAAATATTCGTTTCCTACAATCCTTAATTTGGTGGCCAACCTTTTTGCAATAATTGCATACTAATTCAGTTTTATTTTATATGATGTAGGAAATGGATTTATGGATGAACCAGGTTTTGAATATTGATGTTCAAATGAATTTGGTAAGGTTTCTTCCTCGATAGCGATTTCCCTAGCCTCCCTTAAAGTTTTAGCGGTCTTACATTTAACTATAATTTTAAGAGAGAAACATTGAACGTCTCAAAGTGGTTCTGGCTTAATTGCAAGCATATTATAAGTAATCATACATCATATTTCTTTGTAATTAGTGTAATAATAAATCAAAATTCGATATTCTTGAATCGATATCGATGGTAGTATCAAAGTTTTGGGTTCAATAACTAACAAAATATATTACGCATTTATTAGTAAATCAACATAATCAGTTTTGAAGAAAAAAATTACCGACAAGAAAAAAGTGACTCAGAAAACTATACCGAAATTAAAAAAAATCTAAACAAGAGATTAGCGCCATACTGAGCGAACTCCTGAGATATATGTAGAGTGATTTGACACTTAACTGATAAATGTCAAGTTGTCAAAAAAGGTTTGTGTGTCATGCATTTAAAAAAGTAGCTGTCAAAATGCCTCTCGGTCGCGATGGGAGACTATATATAAATATAAATATGTTTTATAAATACATACATAATTATAAAGAATAAAATATAGTATAAATTCTTAGGTATTGTAGTGTACGAAAATACCCAATTTACTGTTCAATGCAAAAATAGTTTAATAAATAGATTAATTCATATTTATATATAATTCTTCCATTAATACGGAAAATTTAATCAATCATTCATTTTTATATACACGATAAATTTGTTAGTATAAATAAAATCAATAAATTACATCAAGTTTCAGAACATGAACATTCGACAAACCACTCGAAATTTATGAACTGTCAAAACCAGATTGTAAAGTCTAGTATATAAATTATCGTGTAATAAAGTGAATAGAATCTTGGAAATTTTGCAAATTAAATAATTAGGTTGATTCATAAATATCACAAAAATATACAAAATCATCAAATATGGTTATAAAAAAATAGACTTTAATAAAAAAATAGACACCTGTTAGTTGTAACGTAAGTTGATAATAAACTGCATATGCAAGAATGATTCTTTTCGCAATTATAAATATACAATTGTTCGGTTTATAATAATTTTATTTTTTACTTTACCTTATCACAGAAGACTTTGATCTGGCAGTAACCTCTATGAAACACGGTTGGGTCTCGTGGATCTTCAAATGTATCAATTTGGAGGTGCAATGGCAAACCCTGAAAAAATAAAATAAATGTATTATTAAGCACACATAATTCAAAATTTTGTTCTAAAATAATTATAAAAATCCAATTTAAAAATCCAATACAATATTTTTTACGATCTTTTAATATACGCCACCACAATAACATTGTCACATTGAAATATTTTGAGAAAGCACTTAAAAAACGAAACAAATTTTGAAAGATGACAATCATAAAAACTAACAATAAACAGATTTTTATTACTGCTCATAAGTATGCGCTTAAATTATTTTTTCGTTACGATTAAAATGATATTGAATTTAAAAAATATAATTTATTACTATATATTAAGGAGTAAGTGGTGATTGTCAAATAAAAATATTTATTTATGACTTTTCCGTTAGATCTGTAGACGTTTTGCATCTTGAATGCGATTAAGAACATATTAAATAAAATATGCACGAATTATGATTGGTTTAATGTGGCCTAGCTAATAAAATCACCGTTGGCTGAATTAAAATTAGAAAATATGAATAAAATTGAAAAAATCTATAGATTATTTTATTGAATATTATACTTTTGCATATGGATATATTTAGGCAAATGATTATCCTAGATATTCTTATTTGACTATTCTACTTTCATTTATCACAATTGAGTATAAATAATTTAGTTTCAGTCATATCAATGCATCCATCTTCATTATTTTATCATTTTGTAGTACTGCCCTAGAACAGATCCGTAAACTGAGTCAAATTCCAATTCGATTCAAGGAAGAATAGCGTGAGTGATTTCCCATTGCCATTCTACATCGCAGTGCCCGAAATAAACTATTTCCAGTTGGAAACATATTTTTCATCTAAATTTTCACCGTCCACTCTAATCCGTGACTTTAAACATTATATATATAACACATATAATGTAATATAATTTCTAGCCTTGCGCGTGTCCCAGATTTATAAATTACTAGGAATTATAATATTCATATTAGTAATGAGGTGTTTGAAGCAAACTCTTAGCAATTGAGTCAAAATGGTATTTTATGAGACTTAATAGAGAAATAGTGTGCATCAATATATTTGTTTGTAAATGATTAATTACATATAGAGCGCCATAGAATCATCTTCTGAAGTAGATTAAATTGTGTACCAAATACACATTACCGGTCATCTGTGTTAATACAGCATCGATTGCAGGGCATTGTTAAGTCAATATCGACTTCATATGAATCAACATGAAAATATTGTCCACATGATCCTCCGTTATATACGATATATCGAATGTCTCGTCCGGGCATGGGAAAATACTCCAAAGTAATCACAAACGTATAAAAAATACAGTCGCCTGTACAAACGAAATATCATACCAAGTCAAAGGCAGATAACTGTGCGTGAGACGAAGAGGAGAATGAGATGATGGCCATTTTAAACACCGAATCCATGTTATGTTAGCCTGACCACTTTTAATTAATATCAAAAAGCCTCAATAAAACACGAACGCATATATACCGGGATCACTGCTTGCGTCACATATACGATTGAACACGTATATAAAAAAGTTCAGTTTTTGGTCCAGAGAATAAACGAATTCGAAATCGTATGAATAAAAACTGACAGGTGCTACTTACTTGAATCTACCTTTGAATATCTCCAGCATCGGATATATATATATATATATATATATATATATATATATATATACATGCACACAAATGCATTAATAACTCAATAAAAATCATACCAGCTCACTTATATTATTTGTAATCAGGACCTATTTTAATCATTTCTATATACTGAAGCTATTCACAAAAGCTCGACAGTAGCTTTAACTGAAGCTTTCAAATCATACATATGAAGAAACGATGTATAGTAAACTATTGAAAATCTAAAATTTTTACCAATAGACCACTTATATAATCGATTTGAATGAAATTTATCATTTTATTGAACACCAGTATATGTTCACAAACCCCCTCATTATAGACGACGTATTTCGTAAGGTGATAAAGGTAGGTTAATAAATAAAATTTAATGTAAAAGTAAAAGTTTCAGTAAGGTACAAAATATTGAGTTATTTTATTTTTGAATTAATTGGGGTATCCGAAAATTGATTAACCACCGTTTATAGAGGTAGTCAAGTTATCATATATTATCCGTTATATACGATGAATGCTATAGCATCCACGTCAAGTATTATTGAATTGATTGGGATATCTAAAAATTAATGAAACACCGTTTGCACGGGTAGTCAGATTATCATATTTTAATCGTTATATACGATGAATGCTACAGCATCCACGTCAAGTATTGCGCTGCTAATTTACGCAATGTGATTGCCCAAGCTAATACCTGAAAAATCAGTTAGTTATTACTCTGACAGGTAAAATAATGACATAAACGTGAGGTCATATAAAATAAAATTTAAAATAATTGACTTTAAATTTTGAATGCTATAGCATTAATGTCATTCTGCAATGAAAATGAATGCTATAGCATTCACGACCGCGAACGTGTTGAAATTGTGCGTTTTTCTTTTAGCAAAAGCTCTTTTTTATACCCTCTCTGAAGTTATTATTTTATTATAGATTTTGTTTAATGGAATTCAGACTGTGTTACCAATTGATACATTGTCCAACCAGTTAACTGTGATTGACAAATATACTCGTGATAGACAAGTGGCAGAATTTGGTGTAATAACGAGTATACCTGCCATGCCTATAAATCTTTGTTTATTGGCTATTTAGGTTGCAATTTTTTTAATAGAAAAACAAAACATATTCTCAAATTTCAAGATATTTACAATAATAGAAAATAGTTCTAATTATAAGTGGTCTTTTACCTCAAAAACAACATTTTACCTCGATTCTGACTAATCAAAACTGTGAACGCACAGTTCAATGAGTGCGCCACAGTTAACTGGTTATTAAAACCATTATATATCAGAATATTGTTACCCAGCAATAACTCTTATTGTCGGAGCAACTAAATATTCCGGTAATCATCAATAAAAGAAACGAAATATTACGTGAGCACGGAGTCGTATCTATATAAAGCTTACGTAGTCACGCGTAGTGAATTGAAATTCACATATATAAACTGAATTTGTGTATGTTATATAGAAATGTCAATGTTTACAAACGGAACCAAAGCAAAGTGACCATGGTACTAATGGCCACTGCTGCCTTAGATCTCGGATGGTGCATCCGGTGTTAATTCTTTGATCTGCCCGCATGCGAGACCGAAGTGTTAATCCATAGAATTTAAAAAAAAAAATCAATACAAAAATTTTTGTTTTCATTAAAAAAATAAGTTGATTTTTTGCTAGAAAATTTGATTTGCTAATTTCATATTTCCTTGATTTTTCATTTAGAATGACAACAAAATTGGATTAAGTACCTATGTGTGTGTATGTGCAATTCTTGACTTTCCTTCGACATTTTTTCAAAAATTTATAAGTCATTCGATAAATTTAGGTAAGTATTCGCATTAATCAGTCTTTCGAGGAGATAAGCTTTTTTAGATTTTGCAGAGAACTGAAAACGGAAAAAATCTTAAACCGATTTTGAAAATCTTAACACTTTTCAAAAGATATCAGTCGAAAATTGTACTGATTAGTACTAGGAGAACCGCCGGATCGTTTCTTCGTAATTAATATTGAGAAAAAAAATCGGCGTTTTTAATAAATTGTTTATGGTTATAGAGTTCATGGTCTTAACGATCATCCTGAAATATTAAGGTCTTACGAAAAGTGGTTTAATTAGAAAAATGTTTGAAATAGTAGGCCGTTTATCTATACATCTATTGTCGTACATCTATTGTCGCAATTATTAAATTTGCTAAATTCAAATTTCTATGGATTATACGAAAAATTAATACTTATCGAGTAATTTTTGCAACTTGCCTTAAGGCAAAATACACGTAGTTATTGCATCGTCTTCAACTTGCTTAATAAAATTACTAATAGTTAACTATTTTGTATGATTACATTAGACCTGTTTACCGAATAATTAATTTAGGGCTACACATAAACATTAAATTCACTTTCATATATAACTCGAATTTGATTATCAATAAAAGCTCGATTATAGTTCTGTATTTCATTATAAGTGTAATCAAATCAATGAATGAACATAATGTTATATTTTACAAACATTACAAAAAATGCCTAAATATTTGTTTAACTGTATTTCCTATAAAAAGTATTAAAAAATGTAGTCCAAAGTTCAAATTATGACCGGAATAAAAACTTCATACATACATTCTAATTTTTTATGTCTTTTTGTAATTTCACACTTTTTATAAGAAGTTTAGAATAATAGTAGTATGAGGTATGTGCATTATATGTCAATGTCAATTTTTTTAATATCGGGATAATTTTCAAAGCGAAATGTGCAAAATTAGTCATAATTGTAAATTTGGGTTGAATTTGTATAAATATATACGATTTTATGTAAATTTTGGCAACTTATGCGTTGACATCACCGGCTCAATGTAACTTACAATAAATCAATGATAAAAATTACAGTTTATTGCAGATTTATGTAAAACATTTAATACATTAATTTTGATTCTACAATAATTTCTTTTGGACTATTCATAAAAAAACTGAAGTGTTTCATCATCTTTTATCACCGTCAATATATTGTTAAACAATAAGCTATAGTAGTTTAATAAATTGATATAATTGACAGAATGAAAATGCTTTATCATAAAACATGTAGTGTGTAAAAAATGATTAATGTAAAAAATAAAAGCAGTTTTTTTAAATATCGCTGTTTTGCATGCATTTTAATAAGGATCAAGTTACAAATAACAAGTTGAATTATTAATATGCATTTTTTATCTGTTTTATATATGACAAAGACAATAATGACAAATAAGTGATAAAGCAATTAACGCATGACTAATTTATTGTGTTAGCTCGGACAAGTAGAAGGATGATTTTCAGATTTTTCTCAAAGATACAATAATTGGATTTAATAGTTGCTCCGTTTATTGTCTCCGAGTTTAAGCGAGTCATGGCGTTTTATCGTCTGTAAGTTCATGCTATGACAAATGGGTATCTTTTCCGCGATAGACCTTGACTTTTTGAGAGTTAAGTGCAAGGTTTTTGTAACATAGACACTGTTAAACATAACGATATTTCAAGAAAACGATTACGATATGGCAGAAGACGTTTGCCGTAAATATTGTTGTTAATTAAAACTGCTACCGGCTCATTAAGGCTATTATTTATGAACGATATCAAGATGCCGTAAATTAATATGTTGATATACAGACACATTCACCATGTGATTATGCGATGCACGTCTATATTTGATTTGACATATATTTTATTATAATTAATCGAATCTGCTACTACATTAGAGCACATATAATATTCAGTAATAACAATAATTGAAATACACAAATATGATGTGAGGACAGTAGGGAGCTAGGAGATTATTGCAACAAGAGTAAGTAGTAGGTACCAGGCGCTTTTCCATAGAATCTTGAATGAAATTAAAATATTTTTTTATCAGATTGAACACGTAAACCACCCTTCAATATTATTAAAGTAATTGTCCCGCAGATCGACGAAGTAAACAGAATTGTGCAGGTGAGTCATATTTGACGAGCAATATAAAATTCATAATAATTCTTATTCCAAGGATCAACATATAATAAGATTGAAATAAAATATTTGACCAAAGTTGCAATAGGGATATTTGAAATTAAAATATCAAAATTCGACATTTCAATGTATAATAGTACGATCGATTTATTTACGTTATTTATTTGTACTTTCATAAATTTCAAAGTCAGCATTATAACATTTATCAACAATCAATTTCCACTTAATATTTTTTAAGATTAATACAAATTTGCCTAAATGCGTATAACCTTACACATAACCTTTTAGTCAAATTAAAGACGTTCGCTTCCTAATTATAACATTAATTATATCAAATTGCCTATTTTGAAATATTCACAAAGATAGCGAATAGATTTATGTCATTCGGATTCTGTAATAGCGCCGTTTAGCCAACGGCTAAGGAACTCGAGATCGGCGCACTGTGGCATATTACATAAGCGATATAAATAACTATTTATAAAATGCCAATAAAGTAAATAACACAATTAGGAAAAATTTTCTTAATTGTATAACTAATTTTTAATGAAAACCTTTGAGCAATATAAATAAATCACACAAACACACTCAAAATCACCTATTTAATGAAGATTTCTATTTCATTTGAACAAGAAGTCCTTTAAATTAATTTCTTCTCATTCCTTGCATGAAATCATACTACAACTAGATATTTTCTTTGAAATGTTTATAAGTCATCATCAAATATTCTTTGAAAAAGTAATAACAATAAAACTCTTATGAATTTATAACGCATGTGTTTACATTCGCCAATCGAAATTCGTGCATAATTTAGTTTTATTAACCACGTCATGTTAATACTAAGGCGATAGTTACAATTCTAAAGAATTTTATGTGTAACAGGTTATATAAAAAAATACCCAGCACATTTACAATTACAATGAGCTGAGTTAAATTTCAACTTCATTCAGGGAAGAATAGTGTGAGAAATTTCCCATTGCCTTTTCACACCACAGTGCCCGAAATGGGCTATTTTCAATTGAAAACATATTTTTGGTCTATATTTTCAATTGAAAATTGATATCACAATTGCATGATACCAGGTTATCAAGAACCATCTTTATATTAACCAGTAATTGAGAATCTCTTATTATATATGAGATATTTGAATTTTATTTTCTCTACAATTTAGTACCCTGGGTCACTAATTAAAGTTAAAAATTCGCAGTAAATTCAAATATAAAATTTAAAAAATGCTTAAAATAATTCAATGTTCTTTCTGACTTTCACAATGCGTGAATATGAATCAAGATATTAATAATTACAGTGAAGAGACAATTGAAAGTAAATGTTCGATACCCCTGAATCTAACGTATACTTTATTACCCATCTAATCAGTCTCTTAATCAGTAAGACAATTTACACATCACTTGATCACTTGCTCAATTAGCAGAAAAGTTTTAAATACCTTTAAGACAATTTTATGAAAAATAAATCTTAAGGTTTTATAGTTATATATAAATAGAAACTTTCGACACTTACCTTGACACCCTTTTGACTGCTGAAGTCCGTGCTGAGGCACTGGACAGCTACGTTGATCTGTGGAAAAGGATAAATAAAATTAATATTAGATGAAAATATTTTTTTAATTTATATATACAAAATAAGTTTTTTATTGAATAAATATATATGTACAACGGCATTATTTATTTACGATAGATTACTTCCGATCTCGTAACGCTAATGAACGAAACAATTAGTCAATGAAAAAAAGCATCTCCTCTCATAAGTGCCGTTTTACAACTACCGTGTAATTAATCAGAAAAATTCATAAACACTGGAAAATGCCAGATATATTTAGCTAGTAATTAATCATTCTTTAATTAGCGGCAAACAACTTGGGATTAATAGGATAGAGCAACATATCATAATGGTAGAAAACAATGATTCTAGTCAAATCGGACGGATGTGAAAATTATTTTCAAATTATGTGGTCATTTAGTCACGCACGCAGATTTTCAATTTGACGTTCACGTTCGTCCCATTCAGCTGGAATAGCGCATCGCCAAAAGGCAAAAGATTTGAATTGACAACGAGATGGCAGATAAAAGATAAAGCGTGCGCCTTCGAGCTAAACTGAAGAACGCTTTTCAATCTTCTTAAGTAGAGTTAGAACAGTCTATTGAATAAGAACATTAGCAAAACATTAACTTGAAAAATGGATAAATAGATAAATTAACACGACGATCGTCATGTCAGTCATATGTGCCTGACACTAAGGGGTTCTATATGAGACATGTCAGACTTTTTTTTTTCTTTGATACATTATCTTTTGTTATAGATTTTCAAACATGACTATTGATCTCCTGACGTTGCTTGATTTAAGGCTTTGGCTGTTTACACATCTCTTGCCCTATATTTGCAAATATTGTTGTTAAAAAAATCCTAACTTTACTTGTTTCTGAGATTTTGGTGGTGGATTTTTTTACCTGAGGACCAGCTCTATATAAATAGTGATAAATTCGTAAGTTTTTCAAAATAACCGTTATGTTCTTACCACGTGGTAGAATGGTTTCAAAAATTGGACCATTACGTTGATAACAATCGTTCAATTTGAATACACTTCCAATAAAAAGATTGAAAACAACTGCTAGAAACTATTATATTTCTGAAGCATTCTATTAGAGAGCCAGCAAGAACGATATCTGACCTAACAGTATAATCTAATAGCATAGTCTGAGGTGTATCATTGAAATGATAAAACATCTAAACGATTTTGTACGGAGGAGTTCCGAACAGGTGATTTTACAAAATATAGTGCAGCACAACTAGGTAAGTGTACTATGCAAAAAGCGACTACATCTTGTGCTACTGAATTCCACAAGTATGCTTTAATAATGCCTTATAAGTGAAAATATCGGTGCGAGCCGTTCGAACATCTATATTTAGCAAAGTCTTTATATATAGACGAAGATAAACACAACTTATCTCAACTGTAAGCACATGAAACTTTGCATGTCAAGTAAACATATTATACACGCCTTATATGGAACGAATTGAAAATAGAATTGCAAAAAATACAAGCCATATTAAATATATGAATGACAAAATTTAAATCGAGCTTCCTTGTAAACCATGCAAGGGTATAAAAATTCCTAAATGTGCTACTAGGAAATGAATAAATGTATGGGAATGATAATTCTCGCTAATCAGTAATAGTAAATTTATAAAAATAAAAATAATGAAGTATTAAATTATATGTAACGATGATCACAAATTATATAAGTCAATTTCGTCTCAATTATAGAATCAATATAGATTGTTTAAAATGATATATTTGTTCAAGAAATTATGCAAAATCTATTTGACTAAAACCGGTCTTGTGAATGTTTGGTATTGAAACATAAATCGAATATAATTTATTTCAATTAGTCTTGTGATATCCATATAATTAAAATGTGATGGATAATTACTTTGAATGGTTATATTTAAAGTAAATATAGTTATTTATTTCGTTTGCAAACCTCTATGGGCCCGAGTAACTTTCAGGTTACATTCAAAATGTGTCGATCCAAATAATTATATATTTTTTCTAATATGACGCATATATCTGAATTTTAAAACATTTTCAAGAAAATCAATATCAATATTCATAACCTTTTCAGGATTTTCGATCTGAAATAAAATTTTCATACACAGAACTTGAGAGTCACATAATTCATTAATACCAAAAACAATGGTTTACACAAATTTTTATTTTTCAATTTGCATATATAAGCTCACAATTACTAATTTTTTAGTAATGTAACTGAGTAACTGAGGGTTAATCTAACATTGAACATTTTTGACAATGTGTAACAAAGTGAACTTAACAATTATTAGATTTTTTTAATTACCATAAAAGTTTTACGTATCCGGCTACCTAGCAAAGACGGTTATGACCTGTACATTGCTTAATACGCATTAAAATTATTGAATTCAATTTTAATCTATGACCGACATGATCTTTTTGTACACGGATCAATGTCTTTTACATCAAAGGACGGCATTGAAAATCTTAAATAATCTTGTCGATTTTTTTAAATCAGAATTAAAAACAAATCCGATTAAGTTCTTGTGTTCTCTCTTTAAAATTAAAATGTATTCACGGATACATATATGTATGTTATGCATATTTAAATGTCAAGAGAAATAGAATTACTTTGTATCACAGTTTGTAACACTTTGCATCGCCGAGATGTGTAACTGTAACATTCGAACTACTTCGGTTGCTGATATCCTTATTAGGAAACTATAAATTACGAATTAAATATCTGTTCATAGGGGACAGGAGAAAATTGTCATTGAGTTTTAAAAATTATTGCATCCGAATTCTAGCAAAGTTGGATGAAAATGTAAGAAAGTATTACATTGGACTAATAAGGAAAACCCTGGCCTAGCTCGTCTCAGATGTTTATGAAACTTGCAGAATGGTAGATTTTATACAACTATAATTAAATAAGATATTCGGAGCAATAAATAACTTAATTTGATCTAAATATCTAGTTCCTAAAATAGTAGTCTTTACGGAAGCAAACAAAAATATATGTTAGAAAAATATATCAATTTATATAAAACTTATTTCTTACCTTAGCACCGCTTTCAAGTGGATTCCAATAAACAGCAATTGCATTATGCGAAACCTCTTCTATGCATCCGACCAATCCGACACTGTTCTTTGTATCTGCAAAGACAAAAAAAAAATACATTCAAACTGACTGTTTGTCACAAGAATTCACATCAAGATGAGAAATAAACTAAGATGCATTTAAGGTAGATTCCGACGTTAGAAAGACCCACATAAATTTTAGACGAGAATTTTGTCGAAATAAAACTACAACAGTAGTAATAGTAAGTAGAAAATAAAAATACTGTACAAACATATGAATTTGTGCAAAAGAATTGCTTAACAGTAGATGAAAACTGTGCTTTAATTTATTTTTTTCCCTTGAAATAGCAATCGAGATACAATTATACCTTATAAGCTATTGTTATATGAACAGATATGAAGTGTAAGTTAAAAAGAAAAATAAAATAATTTAGGTTTCACTCCGTGAAAAGATGTCTTAATGTTTTATTTGGTGATTTAGGAATAAAGTTAACTTATTGCTGAACACGATATGAAATGCACTAGTAACGTTATGCCCCAATGTATGTATATATTATAAAACATGCTCTAGAAAATTAATAACTGCAAATATGGATGAAGTTGCAAAAAACTTACAAAATAATTGTTTAAAAAAACAACTGAATCAGATTATTATATAAAAGACAAAAAAGTGAAATAAAATTTTATTTAAATGATGTATGCATATTATCAATACTGCCAGTAATTAAAACTTCAGTGCTAAAATTGTATGTAATGAATTCATACTTGTTGTAAATGCTTTAAGGATTCAAAAATTTATCAGTAAAGTGTGTATTAAGATAAAAAAAAAACAAAAAAATATATAATGTATTCTGATGAAATTATTTTTTCCCATGCTTTAGAACCTTTGGTACATAAATGTTTCTTTCCAAAAATATCACTTTCTTTTTTTTGTTGTAAAAAGGTCTTCTCAATCTCTTCGGGAGTGTTAAAGAGTCCGAACTGTTTGAACCCTACAGTAGGTGTATAGTGTAGGAATTCAAAACACAAGCACACCTGCATAACATCCAAAACTTTTACAGAAACCAAACGCCGAGGATAACGGCGGATAGCGGATAACATACATATAACAACGAAACATAACATGCTGCATTTACTCGGGATTGGAATAAATGCTTTTCGTATATTAGATAAATATGGTCGTTGGCAATGAAGCACACACATTCGGTAAATGACACGAAAAACACATTGATAAATATTGAAAAACAGAATGTCCTACGAATTCTTCTCCGACAGTGTGTTTGCAATTGTATGCATCTCTAAGTAACATTTTTATCCCATTCTAATTAGTTTAACTTTATTATATAAAGTAATAATAATTAGGGTAGGGCGCAACACAAGGGTCCAATCTGACTTTGAGCAATTATAATGTGAAAACCATGTAAAAACCAAATCAAAAATATGACAACAAATAACACATACCAAACAAGCAACTATCTGACTAAGTTCAGCACAACTCCCACCTAATTCATCATTGTAAAAATGTGTTTTTTTTTTGTTTTTTAAAAATTTGTATAAACCTGGTCCTTTTTACCCCATAGGCCAGGGTACAAGCAGGTCCAATGTCTTATTTTCATTTTAAAGGAATTTTAGAAAATAATATTTTTACAAAATTTTATGGGTGCATTTTTTACAGAGATAACACTGCATTGTCTATAACCTTGATCTGGTCTTTAGGTAAAAATATTCATCAGCATAGTTGGAATAACTATTAATTTAATTTATTTCTAGTAAAATTATTATTTTTTAAACTGAATTTACACTTTTTTACTATTTTTTATTGTGCCTTTTACTTTGCCAGGGTAAATGTGCAATTCGTCCTTTTTACCTCACCTACGTGTAAACTTTAATAGAGATTATTTTTAAAAAAAGTGTAGAATCTAACTTAAAATTAACAATACATCTTATAAAACAATTAAATAACGTGAACTTAAAAAATAATGTAAGGTCTCATAAACTAAACAACAGTGCTCACAACCAAAAAAAAAACTAACGGAAGAAAATATTTTTGTTATGGATTTTCGAACATCGTCGTTTATCTCCTGATAGTGACGCCGTAAGAAACAAGGTGATGGGTGGTTATAAATATTTTGCGTTCTTTTTTCAAAAACTGTTGTTAAAAAAATCCTAACTTTACTTATTTTTGAGATGTCGGTGGTGAACCTTTTTACCCGCGGAGCTTTAAGCCCCGCTCTACTCTACTGATAATTTTATTATTGGTGCAAAAATGCTGGGTAAAGGCTGCTTTTAGGTGAGATCAATCACTTGTATATAAAATCAAATAAATAGATCCTAAATACCTCACATTCAGGGCTATAATTAATTATCCCAAATCAACTTGAAGAATCTAATTAAATTTTAAATGTACTTTGCCAATTCGAAATCGATTAGAAGACCATTTGTTGATCACTGTTCAAAAATATCCGCGTTCTTTTTCATCCAAGCGGTTGAATTTATCGGCATAGCAGCAGATAAGGCGGGTTGTAATGAGTTTTGAATAAATGCCGTAAATTATTATACGGATGCATATGCGTGTAATGTAAGACGCATCGCGCTGAGAAATTGTACTCGGACTGATGGTAAAAGGAAACAATAAAATTAAATACATAAATGAATAAAACGTGCACTTGTTGCGAGTGCGACTCGCCTTCACACAAGTGCAAAGCCGTGTCCCGAGGAATAAAGATTTAGAAAATAATTAATGGAGAACCTTTCAAATACCATTTTACGATAAAATCATATTTTTCTTGATTAAATTTGAAAATTCATTCGATATGTTATAGAAGATATTTTGTCCTGTCTGAACGTGATATAGGAGAGACTGGGTATGGTTGTGCCAGGGTACGGTAGGGACAGTCGTCATAACAGCGAAACTATACTGATTTTGAGATAGGGCCCAAAGCGAAAATGATGAAGTATGATTGTTCGAACAAGTTTCCATTAATGCTCTCAGTCAGTCCTTTACTGAGACTAGATATGGTTGTGCCAGGGTACGGTAGGGACAGTCGTCATAACAGCGAAGCTATACTGATTTTGAAATAGGGCCCAAAGCGAAAACGATGAAGTATGATTGTTCGAACAAGTTTCCATTATTGCTTTCAGTCAGTCCTTTACATTAACATGATCTCTAGACCGCATTGCTTTTAACGAGTCAAAAGACAGTTTCCAAATTACCATTTAATTTACTTTTCTTCCAGCTAACTGGTATTTTAACAAAGTTATTGCTGATAAAAAAAGTGGAACAACCGTATCCAGTCTACTCTACTACTTCCCTAAAATATGTATATTTTTACTAAAGATTTACTTGAAGTTTTTTTCTAAAACCCTTTCCATTTTGCTGGAAATAATTTAAATCAATTCAAATCTTGTTTGATTTATGTGCATTAAAATTATAACGAGAGTCTACGCTTGTTTTCACTTGAGTGCAAAACCATGTCCAAGTAAATAATATAAATTGATTAGAACTAGATTAGTATTTGCAACAAACTATTGGAACAAATAAAATTAAAGAGATAGTTTTCCAATCACTTGTTTTAAAAATAAAATCATAAATTCTCTTTTAAAGGTGACAATTCTTTGTTGCAATAAATGTAAATTATTTTTGTCATAAGGGGAATATTCATCCACTGAATTAACTGAACGATACAATTTTAATAAATAAATTTTGGAGAGAATGGTTTAAATATCATCAGTATGATATTCTCTACAAAAAGCTTTTGAATATATTTACTGTTGCAATAATTTTTGCCTCGATATAATTATAGATCAATGGTAAATAATTATATATTAATTAGTAAGTAATTATTAGATAGTAAATAACTCTATTATCTTAGTTTAAAACATTGACTTAGACAACGGTTAATTAGTACTTCTAAAATCTTTTAAAAATTATCAAAAACTAGAATCTTTATTACACATCTTATTAAATATTTAATGTCTTCACTTCGTTAACGTTCTCCAAAAGTCTCAAGTTCATAAATAATAAATTTTTTATCTCATGATATCAGATGACAAAATGACTCGTAAATTACGGTTAAATCCGAATTATTGCGTTTTTTAATTAAATTTGATTGAATGAAAGTGATAATATAAACTACGACGAAATATAGAGTTTTCATATATTGCTCGTTCAATGTAGACGAATATTAGAAAAGTGTGTCTGTTAAAGATGCGAACGTTAGAACTGAAGTTTGTAGAAAATGTACACATAAATTATGTCACTGATAATTGTGCCATTAGCATCAAGAAGAAAAAAAATATAACAATTTATTAATATTTTACGTCATCGCTAAAGTGAAGTAAATGGATATAGTGATACACCTGACGGCTAGTTAGTCGGCCATCCGAGTTCTCAAAACAAAGGGTCAATATTGACATTACGTTGTCGTGCTTAATATTGAATCGAGGCACTGTACCCTGAAAAAAGCACCGCGGGCAGCAAAAAGCACAATCATAAAAGGTCTTTCTTCAGCATCATCGTTGAAGTTAGATGCGACTTTTAAAAAAGTAAACAATAGACTCCACACAAAGTCCGCGGTGGACACGTACTATGTACCTACGGCCCAGAAGAGTTTACCATTCGGTCGACACAAAAGACGCGGTCAGCGAAAGACGCTATCATTGTTCTCTCGGATATTTGTTTTCGGTGTTTTTTTCATCTTTATTTTAATTTTTTTTCCTTTATTATTTCGAGTTGCATGCATGTTTAAATTTATCGTGCAAACAAGCGAGCGCTTGTGATTTTCTAGAATTTTCCAGGAGCAAACAAAATGAAAAAATAATACTGATTGCAGTAGGTAGGCTACATGTGCTTTTTGTCTTTTTCGTTTGCAGTGTTTGCTTGGAATGAAATAGAGAAGACGACGAAGTGACAACTAACAGGAGTATTCAATTGAATCAATAATCTAATCAATTTATCTGATCCATTGTAATCGATTTATATAATAAATAGATTTTTTTAAGAAAAATGCTGACATAGTGCACTACTTCTCAGCAACGATTTGAAGTGCGCTTTATAGGCAGAACATTTGTTCTTT